TCTTCTCCGTCAGAGACCAACTGACTGAAAAAGGTAAGAATCACATATGACCACATTGATGCTGGAATGTTGTAAAGGCACTATTGTAATGGGGTATAAATTAAATATAATTACTATGTTCCTACTTCTTACCTGTTAACATTTAGTTTGTGCTTGTTTTTCTTTATTTCAGTGGACAAGCAGTTGTTTTAGAATATAATAATAATAGAATAGAATAATAATAAAGCAATATATCAATCTAAATGAATAATTTCAATGAAATGAAATTAAAGTAAAATCTTTGTCCACTTACACTGTTTTTACTTCACAGTATCTGGATGATGAAGATGCCTTGCAAATCCAAGAAGATCCAATCACTTCCCATCAACAATCCCACACCTCTGAAATGAAAATTCTGTCATTTACTCGTTTGTCACTCCAAACCCGTAAGACTTTTATTCATCTTCAAAACACAAATGAGCATATTTTAAATGAAACCTGACAGATTTCTGTCCCTCTTTTGACAGTCCATGCAACTACCACTTTGATGCTTTAAAAAGTTCACAATCGAGCAGTTTTTAATTCAAATTTTCTGAAGAGCCATGATTTCTTTATATGATAAACAGTTTGAATTTAACATTTTATTCACATATAAACACTGATCAGTGAACATAAACAGAAGTACTTGCTTGACACAAGAACAAACCTTGCAGAAGCTCAAACGTGCTGCGCAACACAAGATTTAACCGCATTGGTTCTCACACATCGAGTAAGAATGCTTTACCTTCCGCTTACCATAACTGATCTGCTCTGACGAATGTTTATATGTGAATAAAAGCTAAGTTAGATCTGTTCATCATATAAAGTGATCGAGTCTCTTTAGAAAATTTCTACTAAACTGCTCAATTCTTATGGAAATATTTTTATGATCTCTTTATGAACTTATGAAGCGTCAAAGTGGTCGTTGCATAAACCGTCAAGGGAGGGACAGACAGACACCTCTCAGATTTCATTAAAAATATCTTCATCTGTGTTCTGAAGATGAACAAAAGTCTTATGGGTTTGGAACAACATGAGGGTGAGTAAATGATGACAGAATTTTCTTTTTTGGATGAACTAACCCAAGTGAAGTGTGCTCAGCTTGTAGCAGTAAGTGCTAAGATATTGTGGACTGCAGAACATACATTTTAAGTTTTAAAGTTTACTCTGTAAAACGCTATTGAATGCTATTAATTTTTATTTGCTGATGTAATGTTTTTAAAGTAATTGAATTTGATATTTTAACAATGTCCAAAACACACTGTTTTAAATAGTTCAAGTATTATTCTGTGTGAGTCCATCATAAATTAGGTGTTTTTTATTGTCATTTTTGGTTGTTGTTGTTGTTTTTTTCCTTGAAGCCTGTAAACAGCTTTATGTAAAGGTGAATACATTCGTCTGAAAAGGATGTGTGGTAACACTTTAGAATTAGGGAACAAATTCCTGTTAACTAAGGGTTTTCCCTCATTAAAATTAATAGTAAGGTTTTTGGTATATAGGTATGAGGTTGTTTATATGTTAATACATTAATATGTGCTTTATAAGTACTAATAAACAGTCAATATGCTAGCAGTATGCATGCTAATAAGCAACTAGTTAATAGTGAGAATTGGTCTCTAAACTAAAGTGTTACCAGTAGTGTTAATGATACTCTGTAATTTGCATTGTTGCACTGTTGTAACATTGTAAAGTGAATAAATGTTTTGTTTTGAGGTGCCTGTTTACTGTTTCATTACACTATTGTTAATTTTTTTTGAAATATTTAAATACAGATTGAATAAATGTGGCTTATAAGGATACATTGGTAAATATTACTTTAAAAACAACAAGGTTTATGTTTGATGAACTTAAAACTAAAGTTTGTAAATTGAAAAAATTGAGTTGGCATCACTTAAGAAGTTCAAGCTGGAAACATGTAAAGTCTAATAGAACAAACAAGAATAAAATGAGTTCAAAATACTTAAAAAGCTGATGCAAATAGTTGCCTCAAGTTTATTGAGTAAAATGGGCACAATACTTTTTTACAGTGTAAGTCTACACAGCATATACGTCCAAAGAACACACTGATAAAAATGATTTTGTGGTGAAGTAAATAATACAGAAGAACATGTAATTTCTACATTAAATAATTTAGTTCAGGCAAGAATAAAAAAAGTAAATTCAATATTAGTACTCAATTTAAGCTTGTAGAATTTAAAGTTTGAACTTGTAAGTATATTTTACTTGGAATTGTTTGTTGTTTTTACAAAGATTGTTTAAGTAAATATCAAAGTCATGATCCCGTTGTTCCCATCATGCACTTGGGCATGAAATAAATTTGCTTATTTCCTTTGCCAATTTTACTTGACTTAGTTAACCCCTTAACTGTCACCCCCCCATTTTTTAAAATAGGCATGCAGGTGCACTATCCAAACTTAAATTGTTGTAATTTATGAACACTTTGGAATACAGACATAAGGTTGGTCTCTTTTTAAAGAAGAAAATCAGCAAATTATCGCAAAAGTGGAATTTTTTCAAAAAATTTAAGTATCAAAAATTTATAGTAGTTTAAATTTACTGTAAAGAAAATGCACTAATTTTATTTTATATATAATAAATATTTTACATATCAGGTTTTACTCTAAAATTGGTATAAAATTATAGCCTTATGTCTAAATAAGTTATGTTCCAACTTTGAAGTTGATATGAAAAAAACTGAGGTTGCTGTGAGATTTTATTTAGGGCGTTATACCACAAACAGCCACCGGGTGCCATCCAAACTCTATTGAATTTTTTTTAATGCATTTTTCTGTCACAAATGTCTAGATTGCTCTATCAATATTACTTCTATCTCAAAATAACCACCAAATATGGAATCCCGAGACTCAGACCTTTCCAGTGATATGTTTTTTGTCAAGATTATAAAAAGTTTTGATTCTAAAAGACCGTAATGCATTTTGTAATATGACACTTGACACTGCCCACTAAGGGGGAGGAGACCGCCAAAAGATTTTAAAGTACCATTTCCATGGTAACGCAATGTCCGATTTCGAAATGGTTTTCACAGGATAAATCTTGGGCTTCTAAGCTTTCAAATGATTTATGATTTACGATGATTACTAAAAGATTTGATAGAGAAAAAAGACAACGACAAAAAAGAGCGCCAAACGTCCCACAGGTGGGACGGTGACAGTTTTAAGTAGATTTTACTTAATTCCATACTTAAATTTTACATAATATGCGTGCAAAAACTTGCTAAATAAAAATTAAGTAAATTGTACTTGTTTTTTTTTTCAGTGCATCATGGTACACATCCAAAAATATCTGAATCATTCAGACATGCTAAAATGTTAAAGATGAAAGCGTAATGCATCAGAAAGTGTTAAAATCATGCTTTAGAATGCAGAGATGATCACTCTAAACTCTTCAGTGTAGCTTAGTTCAGTTATTTCTCATAGCAAATGTCTGATAACAAATTTCATAAACTCAAGAGTCTAGCAGTTATGTGATTTAGATCCGTTTTAATTGCATTAATAAAAACATACAGACACCTTTTATTTTCCATACACAGAAAATGTAAGGCACTTTTTCATAGCTAATGCGAAGTTAAAGAAAGCAAAGAAAAAATCGTCTATAAAAAGGCAAACAATGCAAAAATAGGAAAATACTCTAAAAACAGGCAAATCATCAAAAATAGGCAAATAATGAAAACAGTCAAATAGTCTAATAGGCTAATAATGACTGTAAGTATTCAAGTGAAGGTGATCATTTCTATCTTACAGTGATATTATTTTACAAACACACCAAAAAAATACAATAATTAGAAATCATACTGAATCATACATAGAAATCATACTGGACATAGCCCAGCTGAACATGCTTCATAGATCAAACTGAAAGAGACGAGAAAGATGAAAAAAAAAAAATGACAAAAAAAAAAAGATTACAGAAACAATGTGAAGTATTAAGCAAAGAAAAAACTATTTATTTACATCTATAGTATAACTATATGACACAATCTGTAGTGTTAAAAACACTATATAAAGGTGACTTGACTTAATATAATAAAAAACAAACAAATATTGTTTTATCAGTAAACACATTTGTGAATGTACTTAAAACACGCTTAAGATTCAGCAGTCAGTAACAGTTTTGAAACACAAAACATAAAAATGCTGCTTCTATCTCCAGAGGAGTTATTAACCCTATAAAGCCTGTATCATGTTTAATGCATATATTTCTAAGGCATCTAGATTGTCAACATGGTAAAAACTCTGTTGCAGACAATCTACTACAAGCTTTGTGTCATCTGATTGATAGTTTACACTTTACATTTTTAGTATAAAAGTAAAAGGTTTTTAAGTATAATTGTACAAACATCCACCTTCAGGTCGTGCTGGACGTGTCTTTTTGCTGTCAAATCGTTACTGGTTTTTATAAACTAAACATAACAATAACTTTTATATTGTTAGCAATATTTCAAGATAAACACTTAATCAACTTATGTTCACTTAATTATCCAGACATAATTTTTTATAGAAATTGTGTTCAAATGAGAGTATAAAATATGATCATCAGGATTTTGAGGAACAACTATTTGTTCATCACTCATCTCTCTGTTTTGAAACTACAGAAAACTAAGCATTTAAATATCATCAGATATAGTGAAAACTGTTATCTTCATTATTTTATGTAAGTAACTGCTATACTGTTTTAAAGGTGTCATGCATTTACATTACAAGCTATAAGAATTTCTTCTTACTTTTTGGTCGTATAAATATCAGCATCTGCAATTTGCACCAACTTAACAGTCTCAGTTTAGGTCTCTGAATAAAACTGAGGTGTTTTTTTTTTTTTAAAGCTCCATGTTTTCACTATATCATACTAAATAAGCCATAAATGCCTGATGTATCAAATATGATACTCAACAAAAAATAAAATATGTATGCAAACTTTTTGTACAATATTTTGTCTTAAGGTTCAATAAACTGTTCCATTAAAAAAAAAAAAAAGATTTGTTTCTGACTCTTATTTTACATGGCAGGCTTTACAGGGTTAAAGTTTCAGTTCCTGAGTTTCAGTCTTGATCAAGGACATAATTTTGAGATTTCATGGATCAACCCTTGCAGAATTTGAACCTTCTGCCTTTCTTTACCCACAAAGCTTTGCTAACCAAATCACAAAAACACAAAGTTTCAATGAAATGTTTCATTTCTCAAGAATCCCTGCTGAAAACATCAGTTTTAAGTAATGTTGTAGTGTTGTTTAAGTAGAGCGTAAATAGTGTCGTCAAGATGCCAAAGTGAAATCACCATTAATGATACTACCACTGAAACCTTGGTATTATGACAGTTTCTGTGAGCAATGAGAATTTCTGCTGATGCTCTTCTCTAATTTCCCATCTTCTCTTAATTTTCCCTTTCAATAAAACAATAAAATGTTACAGTTATGTCTCACTAACAACATCAGTATTATTAAGGGATGTCCCATTAGGAGCCAGCTGCATTAGAGCATTAGTCTGTTCACGGGATGAGTCTTCAGCATCATCCTTCTGTAAGAAACACAGATTCACAGAAGGTAAAAGAAATTAACAGGATTGATGTTTGAATTACACAATCACACAATACTACAAACTAGATATAAAGTTGCTCTTTTTGTTTTTATGTTGTTTGTTTAGTTCATTGGGGAGTTTTTTATTGTGGTTTTTTAAGAGACTATTTACTGTTAATGTGCAAGATTTCTGATTCATTAGTTGCTATAAATAACTAAAAGAACAAGTGTGTTTATGATTATGATAGTAAATTAAAATAAGAAATACAAGTTCGCAATATCAAGCAATATAAGGATCTGTTTTGTCCAACTTAATAATAACTGAACGTGAATGAAACCAGAAGCACTGGAACATAATAAATTTACAACTGCAGACATCATCTTACCTGATCACTGCGCTGCCTCCTGATGACTGTTTGAACAACAATAAACTTGGTTAAACACTGCTGACTTTGCTTAATAAGGACAAAATATATGTATATTTTCATACAACAATTCACATACTTCCATCTTGTTAAATCAGCTGTATATAATAATTAGTGCTGGGAGGTATGACCAAAAATGTATACCACAGTATTTTTCAAAATTATACCGGTTTCACGGTACATGACGGTATTTTTTTTTCATGCATGACCGGGTGTTAACCATATTTTCTACTGATTGAGCGAGGAAATACTGCAGTATATTGACTTAGAATGCCCTATTTTACTGTCATGACTGAATATTGTCAAAAAAATACCACACTAAATAGTGACTAAACACGACCCCTTTTAATACGTTAATCAGGAGTCACTCTCATTTATAATAGCGGCATCGTCTGATAAAATCAACATGCATCTACACTAAAGAGCGGCTATGTCTATATTACTTTTTTGTCTCATGCAGCGCACTGCCTGCGTCTGAGTAACAAACTAAAAAAAACAACAAACAAACAAGTGCATGTGATATTAACAGACGAACTACGCTCATATTTATAATTCCAAACAATCAGTAAGCGACAGGTGCTAGGAAACGCTGTTTTGTACTCATTTATTGACAAGTCGCTGCGGTGCGGCCAACTGAATGCGCTGCTTCTCTGCCGCTCACTGCACAGAACAGACGCCGAGAGAGGTGACACTTCTCCGGGAAAGTCAGACCTCGCGTTCGCAGGACAGCACTGGGATGAAAACATTAAAGAGGTTCTTTGCATAATTAGTGGGTCTGAAAGTTGCTAAATCTAGTGCTGAAGTCGCACTTGTGAGACGCGGGAGCTGATGGCAGGGGCGGTGGATATTTGTGGCGGTCAATGTGGATATTGTGGATGAGTTCTTCTGTGTCATCACGTTCTATTAGTTCTACAGCTTCAGTTTCGGAACTTTCACGCTTAGTAACACATACAGCTGTGCCCTCACCACAGTGCAACAGTGAAAAGGGACCCCTTTCAAACAGTGTCGCGTTCCGAATGTTGTTTAAGCGACATATTGCGTATTGCGGTATTTTAAAAATTCATATCATAACAAAAATAAACACCGGTATTCAGTATGAACCGGTATACCGCCCAGCACTAATAATACTCACATTTCATTATTGCTTGGCGCTTATAGTAAACCGCAGCAGCAACGAGCAGAAGAAGAAGAACAACAACAACAGCAACAACTGAAGACGATCCTGAATCTGAAACATCTTTGACAGACAGAAAGACAGACAGATTTGACTGATCAATTTTATCAAAATCTTTGACTGATATTTACACATTTGTACCTGGATCATTAGTGTTGCATGATTTTAACTGATAAATGGTGCCACCTGGCATTGTTTTTAAAGATCAATCCACGTTCTCATTTAGTGGACATTTAAAAACATTGAACTGTATTCTAAAATAACAAGGAAATATGCACTGAATGACAAAATGATACTCACAAGTAACAGTAACAGTAACAGTGAAGCTCCTAATAATGCTGAATCTGCTGCTGCTGTTCTTCAGTTTATATTCTCCAGAGTCTGTGGTTCTGGTGTTTGTGATGGTCAGAGATCCAGTCTGATGATCCAGCTTCAGTCTGTCTCTGAATCTCTCTTTACACTGATCATCTGTACAGATCTTTCTCTGATCTCCAGTGATTTCAGCTATGCGAGTGTCATTAAAATACCACGTCATCGAATTATTTGGGTTTTTTATTACACGACTCTCTAGAGTGACAGATTCTCCCTCCTTCACCAACTTTCTCTTCATTTCATCTAGTTCAGCAGCAGGAACATCTGAAACACAAACCAACAGATGCTGGAGGATCAACAACAACGAAAGAAAAAAAAATGAAAGAAAGTGAAAAAAAACTACACAACATTGTGATTGCATATTTTCCCATGAATTTCAGACTGAAAATCCTTTATCCGTTTTTGCTCATCACAGACTTATTTTTTACATCAAATCCTCAATTAAACAGATCATAATAGAAGATAAGGGTCTCATGAGAAACTGTCATCTCCACCAGAACACAACTGCACCTCATGAACTAAAAAAAAGCTCACTATAATTTTGTTTTGATGATAGATGCATTGCATTAAGATTTCTATTAACAACAATATTTTAGCAATGCAGTCACAGAATCACAGAAATGACTGCTAAGTGCATAAATGTAAGTCAATCAGAGGTATTAAAATGAGCAACTGTCACTACTCTAAAGAGTTTTGTTCACAAATGCCCTTATAACAGTGATAGCTAAAAAAATGCTACCTTTAATGGAATAAAAGAGAAATAAAGTTAAGCAGAA